GGACGAACCTGCAGGATGGCCGGCGGGACGTGCCTGCAGGCTGGCCGGCGGGACGTGCCTGCAGGCTGCACTTTTGTAAACAGAGTGGTAGACGGTTGGAACAAGTTAAGTGAGAAGGTGGTGGAGGCCAAAACCGTCAGTGGTTTCAAAGCATTATATGACAAAGAGTGTTGGGGAGACGGGACACCACGAGCGTAGCTCTCATCCTGTAACTACACTTAGGTAATTACACTTAGGTAATTACACACTCACACTACAATTTTGTCCCCATTGCTTCCGAGACACTTGGCACCTGGGGTAAGAGTGCCACCAGTTTTTTGAAGGAACTTGGTTCTAGGCTAATTGAAACAACAAGAGACCTTCATATGTCTTCCGAGTTCTGTACTCTATAGTCTTACCGACTTTATGCTTTTTTTCCTGATTAACTAATCCCTCAAAGATTAGCATTGTAAAAACTAACACCGTGCTGCAAATTTATTCTAATAAATTGATAATTCGCGTGCAAAAAAGGAAGGAAAAGGCAAAACACACAAATTTCCAAGGCTTCATACACTGTAGCAGGAATATCCCTGCAAAAAAAAAAAAAAAAAAAAAATAGCAGCAGGTAGCTGCATGGGAAGTCACTGGGTTTGTCAACACTATACCGGATATATGCAGTTTGCCCACTGTATTCACCTAGTTGTGCTTGAAGGGGTCGAGCTCTGCTCTTTCGGCCCGCCTCTCAACTGTCAATCAATCAACTGTTACAAATTTTTTTCACACTCTCACACACCCAGGAAGCAGCCCGTAACAGCTGTCTAGCTTCCGGGTACCTATTTACTTCTAGGTAACAGGGGCATCAGGGTGAAAAACTCTGCCCAGTTGTCTCTGCCGACACCAGGAATCGAACCCGGGCCACAGGATTACGAGTCCCGCACGCTGTCCACTCAGCTGCCAGATCCCCACAGACTGTGGTGCAGGAGTGAGGACACATTTAACTTAACTGAAACAACATAATGACCATGTATGTTTACAAATTGTTGCAAAACACTATTTAAGTACACATAATTGATAAAACAGTGAGTGAATACATGAGTTCAAAACTGTACGAATACCCTTTAATGAAACATCCAAACATCCTTCCAAGTCCTGATTTGTGTATCTCATGCCACCCCAAGTATAGTACTGTATATAAATCAAAATATACAAATGACCCACTAGCATCATACTATATAACCTACACTCAGTGGGTTACAGGACAGTAATTACACTGTCTCAATCTGTCTCTAATCACCCTCATAGAGAGTTAATCTTCTTTACCCCTCAAAGTTCTAACGAGGCACTGTAATATTGCACACAAGTGTTGACAATTCATGTCGACAGCAGACTAGATGCTTTCTTTGTTTACTTGACACTTGCCATTCACAACTATTGGCTACACAATTCTTGTTTTTGTTTCTTCACCTATTCCCCATGCAACTGCTATTGTATAGGAGGTATAGGCTGGAGAGCAGGCATTCTGTAAGACAATCTAAGTAAAGAATGAAGTCTGCCCAGAATCAAAGAAATGAGTGAAACAGAGGTTTTAGTACAATCCTGTCTTCAGTGAACCCCTAAACACATTGAAGCTCAATGATCCAAATGAATTCTTCATGAATGTGACACCAACATCAAACCATGTATCAGATATCACCCTAACCCCACTCCATTTTCAAGTACCTATAGACAGCATGTCCCTGTACTTGGCACCAGGCCTAGACTCCTGGAATTCGATATTCATCAAGAATTGCAAAACATCATTTTCACAGGTTCTAAACATCTTCTGGAGACAGGGCCTAGATACTGATA